GACGACATATTTATGAATGCAGACATCGATTTTTGCCAATAAACAACTGAAAATGTTGCACAATTTCCCTTTAACTTAACAGGACAAAATTAGGCCTTCCAACAATTGGGAGAGGTGCTGGGTTTGTTGCTACCATTTGTGGACTGCTGTCATGAAAAAATAGTATTTCCTTCTCCCAGTTCTGTGCTTAATGTCTTCGTGGCTAATATGTATGCCTTCACGCAATGCTGCTTTTTCTTATACCTTTTTTCTGCTTGTTTATGTGTGGGTTTTTTTCCATCCCTTAGGTCTGTGATTTGACTGCATCTCTCTGATGTCAGGTGTTTATTTTTTCTGTATTATGTTCTGTTATTGAAGTTGAAAATTAAATAAAATATTGTGGGGGAAAAAATTCCACCTTCTGAGCCAACAAAAGCTCAATATGAAACTTAAAGAATCATTACGTTTTGATAACTGATACAATAAGTTATTTCTAAATACCAAAAAAGGATCTGATAAAGAACTTGGATCAAACTGTTGGATTTGATACATAATTCAGATTTGATGAAATGTCAAAAACTCAACCTGTACTAATACCCATAATGCAACCCCATTTTCTTAGATCCTCTGTGCCTGGTTAATGCTCATATCTGTCAAGCTTGTCATGCAGGCTTTCTGTTTAAAGTTTCAAGAGATATATCTTGAATCATTTTCTGTGACTTTGAAAAACTCAGCCACACAAGTCATTAAACTAGTTTCACAGGTTGAGTAATACCCCTCATGACTAGAAAATTGACATGTTCAGTCAGCGGAGTGCCCATTTAACAGTTACTCCTTTTAACATGTAATATTTTCAATGTTATTGCAGCATGCTGGAGAGCCTAATCTGATACATCTTTAAAATACAGCATTCATCCATTCGCTACAGACCAGCAGCGCAGTTGCTGTGCGGCATTAAATTTGACATTTAGTTTCCTTGGGGACAGATTTACCACTGCATACCACACAAGTAGTGCCAGAGGCTGCCTTCCACATGTCACATATGGTTTCTGCTGTTTCATTTGTGTTCTTAGTTTTGAAAAAGCTCCTAGATTGAGTTCAACACTGACGTCAAACCCCTGACGGATCTTTGGTGTTCATTTGGAATGCTCTCTTCCCGTAACTTTTGTTCATTTTACATTCAAACGATCATCTGGTCCAATTAGATTCAATTTCAGCACACTGACTCCTGGTCAGCTTTAATTCATTTGCTGCCATCTCTTATAATTAGGCCTTGCATTAACCATGCCTCCCAAAAGAGTCTCCCTTCCTCTCCCACCACCTCATCTGCACAGGAAGCATTTGGTGCTCTTCAAAGTCTGCCTGAGACCCCGCTCTCCATTCACAAGCACTTTCAAATGAGATCAGAGCATTTGAGACTTAGATTCTTGATGATATTAACTTTCCAGCCTCACCCATCCCTCCCTCTCTACGACTCCAGCGGTGGATCCCTAAGTGGGTGAGTTGCCTCCGGGCGGCGGAATCCTTGCACGGCCCAAATTAAATTCCTGGACTGCAGATGACTTTGCTGACCTTCTGGCTTCCTGAGTTCAGTGGAAATGATTGCAGCATGCCGACAGTGATAATTAACCACCTTCAAAGTACTCTACCATTTACATCAAACCCTGTGCAAATCATGAAAGGAATACGGCATATGTCTTTGGACCCGTGTGGCTGAATATCCATAAGCCTCTCCAAAGAGGTCTTGTGGGGTTTTTTTTTGTATTTCTCCTCAGTGCATTTGCCTGAGATTAGGGGAAATGTCTCTTGTTTTATAGAGGACAACCCCTGACAGAAGCAGGCTTTACTATCACTATCTATTTTTTTATTGGAAAGGAACTGACACAAAATCTATCTGAAACTCCTTTCCTCATAATGAAATAACCTTTAAATACACTGGTTCAGTCTGATATGCCTTTTCATCCTGCATTACATATGAACTACAACTGTTTCTATTTTACCATTGTGTGATTTAAATTATATCAGCCTGAGAGGGTCTAAAAGGTTGTGATGCATAGTGCTCAGTAGGGTTGGGTCGGTTCTCGGTAATACCAATTAGGTTCGGTACTCCGTCTTGGACAGGGTTTTTTTTTTTTTTTTTGAGACCAACCGGACTGCATACTCGGGTGGAATGTACGCAGAGTGGACTACGCAGAGTTCCGCCCAGTAAAAGTGGACATCCGCAAGCCCTGTACGTGTAAAGCACAACCACGCGGACTCCGCTCCGCGCACCAGTGTCACACAAAAGACTGTTCGGCATGTATTTTTCACATTGCGGGGATTTTTCACGGACATTTTTACACGGAGTCCGCTCCGCTTATAGTACGCCCGAGTCTGTGGGGACCTGTGTCTGCCTCTTTGCTAAGCGCACAGCGAGCAGGAGAGAGAGGGGGGTGGGGGTTGGGCGGGGACTGAGCTAGGGGGTGCGAGTGCGCATGCGCCGAGGCCTCTACTGTAGCCTGGAGTTTGTTTAACAGTGACGGGGAGTCGATAATGGCAGACAATTTAGTCTCAAAGAAATCAAAGAATGCGCCACTATGGCAACACTTTGGCTTTGAGCCAGACGAAGGAGGCAACCCTTGTTTGCACTGATTGAGTAAGCTGCAAAATTTATTTGTAAGGAATAAAATAAACAACTTGTTACTATCGCTCTGCTGTCCTATGGTCGTTTTTTATTTTAAATGAGTCAATTGCGCCCCCAAGTGGCGAAAATCCGGTATTATCGACTTGATGCGTCTTTTTTTTTTTTTTTTACAAAAACCAGACCGTTTTTTTTTTTCCCCCTCATACTGACCCAACCCTAGTGCTCAGGAAAATAACACCACCATCAACAGTAGTGTGTTGGGTAGAATTCAATGCGCCGTAACTGTCTGAACAGGAGTGAAGCTGAATGAGACAGCAGTACTATATTCAATAAATATAGTATACATATAATTTCAAGTTGGCATAATGTGATGCTTGGGTAGAGGGTGTAGCCTTTTGTGCTGTATTTTGATGCACTGGGTAGGCAGTTAGGTTTAGGCAACAAAACTTGGTTAGGGTTAGGAAAAGATCATGGTTGATGTTGGTCACGTTAGTCAACTAAATAAACAAAATAACTCCACACTGTCTTTAAGTTTCACACAGGACAAGAACACTGGTCTCCAGGATCAAAGTCCTGTGCTTGTTGGACACATCTACCTCCTCTTCTACCCATCCTAAGTGGGCTTCTTTGCTTCTTATGCTACATCTGTTGCTCCAATCGTGTAATAATGATTCGCCCATATCACTACCAAAGTGGTGTTTTTTTTTGTTTTTTTTTGATGCCCTGTGAGTGAAACTAGACTGCTAGAAAGTAAGTATGTAATTGTTTTGCAGCTGTCATTCCTAAAAGTAACCTGTATGTACAGTATGTACACAGAATAATCATTTATCCTAACAAAGTGCATTAATGGTATTTGCATGTTCTGTATATGAAGTAGGGTTAAATGTTTTCCCATCATTTCAAAATGTTTGCTTCCTAGGAACGTATCACTTGTTTGACAAGAAAAGCCACAGAAGCCAACACCAATTTCAAACACAGCTGCAGATCACTAATCATAACAGAGTTATTCTTTTTGATTAATCTTTCAGATTTGACAGAGTATGTGATAATAATTGCCCTTAAAAGTGAGAAAAAAGGATTGATTTTATGAACTCAATGCTCCACCTCTTGAATGCACCACTGCACTGTGATTCAGTGATGGATGTCTACATGTCTGATGAAGCCACTTAGTTTTCACTGACATATTTTGAACTCTTATTCCCTGGAAGAAGGATTCAATTTTGGAGAACATTTCTGGCATTTATTAGAATTCCTGTGTGTTTAAACTGGTCCTTCATACCGGACAACTGTCATTTTACTGTTTACACCTTGAATTAAAATGCAGTCTTCATTTTGATAACGACATCTGATCACAGGATTTAAACCTTGTCAGAATTTCTCGAGGGTTCACCAGTGAAGACCTTTTCAAACCACACAATGCAATTTAATACTTCTACTGAAAGTATGATGAAAGATATGGCCAAGAATTATTTGTTATTATATCACATCTGCTGCACTTCCCAGCAGCACTGTATATAACAATTCCTACTGATACACTTACTTCAATTAAAACAACATTGATCAGTAGAAGTGGCAGAAAATGGATGAATGGATCAACTAATTCAGTAAATACTGTATTAGACATTTGCCCATGATGACACCATGAGCCTCCTACCCGCTGTAGGTGGCAGTGGTGACAGTAATTGCTATAGGTTTGATGGTGCTACCTGAATCTCCACAATAAAAAGGATTGAACTGCCTCCTATGCACACAATCCACTGTCACAACAACCCCAGCGTTCAGTTTAAAGTTGCATAACATCTTCTATGATATTAACTTTGTAACCAGCATTACTGCAGGAAGGCATGAAAACTTTGAAGACTTTCAATACCTTAAATACTTTCTAAAGCCTTTTTTACAGTGAATGCAATTAAATGCTTAAAGCCCTTTCAAGACCTGTACATATCCTGATTTAATCAGCATTCTTGTTATTGTGTATCAGCCTGCAATAAAATCTAAATGTGCAAATGTAGTAGATAGGGTTGGTTGAATGGTGAACAACCATGCCACTCCCAGGTCAAGGCAACCAGTGCTGCAGTACAGATTTACATTTACATGTGTTTCTCCTCCACATCAGAGATCCACACACAGATACGAGGTGTAAATGAGGCTCATATCTGTACTCATGACTCCATATCCAACTTTAACTGTTGACACATGTAATATATATGAGGCATCTGCCACTTCAGACTCTTTCACCCAAAGCACTTTAAAGAATGATGACTGAAACAGTTCTATCATGTATATCACCACTGTGTGAGCCAGAAGCCCAAACCCTGCCAAACTGTTTCCCTGCTGAGATACAAATGGCAGAACTATGTCCCACATGCTCCACTTCACAAACAGCTTGTGTGTTTACCTGAACGTGGCCTTGAGGATCTGTCCGGAGGCGCTCTCTTTGGTGTGGTTGTTGTATCCGTAGAAAAGGTCTCCAAACACAGTCTGGTTAGCAGGGATGTCCGCTGCCTCCCCACAGTCTATTCCCTCGGTGCAGGCCTCGGACAGCGGCAGGCATGACCTCCCATCTGGGCCGCGCTTGTAGTCCTCGATGCACCTAAAGTGACATGAGTTATTAGAGTGATTCATATATTCCCATCTTTTTATCCTTCTTGTGAACTGTGATATAACTTCAAATAAATCTGTTGTGCATTTGTTGTCTATTACTTTGCTTGTTTCTCTGTATTTCCTGAATTCTTTTATCATAGTTCTTTAAGGGAACACTTCACCCCCCAAATAATTGTATGTCAGTTACATACCCCACGCTGTCTTGAATTCATCAAGAAAACTTTGTTTTTTTTCGCACATCTCCACGGTGAACGAAGAATCCAAAAAGGAACATTTTTGCTGAAACACCTCTGCAACTTTACTCATCTGTGCGTGAGACTGTTAATGTGATGTGTTTTAATATGACAGTTTCAGTGAAATTACGTGTGTTTGGGAAGTACTGAGCATACGTCTGGATAAATAAGACTTAGATTGTACTGCTGGAGTTGTGTGAGAGTTTGTAAATGGATGTTTTGATATAGTGTTGCTGTTGTTGAAAGTGAACCCCTATTACTTCAATTCATCAATACAGTTTGCCTTTTTTTTGGATTCTCCATTCACCATGGTGACGAGACCTTCTTCAGACATTCAGGTGGAGTAAATGACATACAAATGAGAATTCTGGGGTTGAAGTATTCCTTTAAAGGGAAATAATCAGTATGCAGTGAGTAAAATAAGAACATTTTCAGGTTAAAGTTAAGCGTATAATTAAAAACAAAATTGGTGGCCAATTGTGAAATCATTTACAACAGATAGGAGACCCTGAGAATGAGAGCCAAACCATTTCCATTCAAAAATAAGATTTCTCATGAAAATAAATGCCAGTTGGTGTATCAGATACATGCCAAATTAAACATAGGTTTTTGTGAATTTCACAACTCCACCAGTTTTTCCATTTTCCACAGTCTAAGAGAATATGACTTGTTCACATTCTTGACCCTGCCTGGTGTCCCCTTTATGTTTACCTGGCTACCTGGTTAACTGCTTCCTGTTTGGACATCAATGTGGACATCTTTGAACTTCAGCATTTGCATGAGCGCAGACTAAAAACTCAATTAAATGACTGATTTTGTCAAAACATCAACATAAGAAAAAGACTGATTTAAAATAGCTTGGACTGAGTTTTATACCAAAAAAAGAGATCACAGGAGTGCCACAACTGTGGTGAAACTATAGGGACAGCTGTCGCCAGCAAATTAATTTAATTGTAGTTGATTAAGATTTATTCTGTTAGAACTCTTTGCTCTTGTTTGACCAGTATGCCTACCTTCTCCAGCCGGCATCTGCATTATAAAACACTGAATAAAAATGTTATCTTCAAAAAAGTAACAAACTTTTTTTTTATGTTTGAGAATAATGGGAGTGTCTTTTTGTTGGAGTGGCTAGTCTTTTTTTTATGTAAAAAGATCCAGGTTGACCACATCATGTCAGTGTCTGCCAGTTTGGCAATGTGTAGCTCGGCAGTTGCAGTGACAGTGGAACAGATTTCTGAATTTTTGTCACACTTTTAGCACAATATATCTTAGCTGGTTGTATATCATATGCATATGATAAAAAGGTTCTCAATGTGAACCTGTGAGCCAGTTTGGCCTGTCGGCGTGTGACTTAAATGGCGTGTCAACACAGGTTTTTCAGTCATCCTTCTATGGTGTGTATGACGGAAAACTCACTCTATTTTAACCAGAATAGCTGTAAACAGAGGCCCTATAACAACTTGCATTTCAATCACACTACAACACATGTAAACGTGAACTGAAGCATATTTTTAACACATCAGGTCTTTTTTTCTGTTTTACATGTGCACCTACATTGGGTTGGGCTCTGTGCGTTGCCATAATGGCAGTGACTTGTATTCAATACTGGTGCCTGAACACATCCTGTGTAGACAAACTGTAATGTTATGTTAGCTCATGTGGCAACAGTGTAGAGCAGAGAACAGGATCATTAAGGGTCATCAGTCTGATATCAAAACACCATCAAACGTGACTTGACAGTGTTTTGGACAATTATGCAGCTGTGCCCATTAAATATAACTAGGCATGTTCGTGTAGAAGTAAAAGAAAAACCTCAACAAGCATTTAAATCAAAATCTCAAGACTGGTAAGGAGACCTGAAATCATGTATTTTCCTCAAAACTCAAAACTCCTCAAAAATGCTGTGGCCCACATGTGCAACAACCTGAGCAAAGGTGTGCCAATCTCACACTAGGGTGAGACAATTCTTAATGCTACTACTGTATAAACATATTTACAAGCAGACTGAGCAGTCAGAAATATTGATTTAAATCTCATGATTGAACGATCATTCTGAGATATTTTCCACTGCATTTTCACCAGGTTCAAAATATGCACAACTCAGACCTCAAAACTCGACAGTGTAGAATCAGCAAAATCAATTCTACTCAACTGGCACAAAATCCTCCATCTCAAAAAAAGGAGAGCAACACTGAGAGTCCTCTCAAGGCTCTTTCATATTGATGATGTTTTGACATCTCGGTGCATAATATACTCTGTGAAATGAATCAAAGGCAGGCGAAGTAGAGGGAGAAAAATGGGGATTGGGGGTTAAAGAGAGAAAGATAATCTGTCAGGGATTTACACGGAGAGAAGCTCTCTCTCCTGGATGCCAAATGTCTCAAAGCTAATGCCAGTCTCCAGTGGGACCAGTGGAGGATTAGACACATTTGCACAGTGGAGAGTGACAACAACAGAATGCTGTTGTGAATTAAATAAAACAGCAGTTTGTATATATGCTGTGGCTGCAACATGGTGTTTAATGTAAAGATGACAGCCAGAAACAGCAGCTCGTTGTGTTCAATTAGATAACGGCTGTTTTCAGGATCACAATCATATCAGATAATCAAAAATAATTGCCTTGTTTTTCCGCTTCTCCTGTAAAACTTAGAGAAACTTGACCTTGGCAGATTTCCACATCTATAAAAAGGTACAAACTGTAGTCATATATGCGGGTGATAACACAGATATATGGCTTGTTGGAGCAGAGAATATGCCTTTACACCACCTTTACATTCCAGTTTAAATGTTAACACTCGGTTAAATGGGCATTTTCAGTGGTTATCAGCATGATAGCTATGGGTTAGAGGGGCTCTGCTATACTGAGTGACTAGTCAGTTCAAAATGTCATTACCAGCGCATTAAACAGCTATGATTCTTTATGGGTGGCAGTGGAGGAAGTAAGCTGACTAAAGCTTGGATTCTCTGCCTGAACTAAACTGGGCCCAACCCAACCCACTGGGTTTGGGTAGGCAGACTTATTGGGTTGGTTGGGTTTGTGAGATTTTGTCATAAACTAGTCCATACCCATTGAGTGCACAGTTGCCCACATACAGTTTCACATGGCGTGTGTTTGGGATACATCGTCAGGACAGAGTTTTTGTGAATTTGACAGTACGATTGCTTTATTGAAAGTACAGTAGTACCATTGCCAATAGTGGGATAGTTAGTGGGCTAAAACTGTACATTAGTAGTTGAGGTAGCACGTTGAAATGCAGATAGTTAAAGTGTTTATATGTTGTATTTACTTAAAAGTGGGGCGCACTGGTAGAATGACTGACTGGCAGAATGAGTCACTGACAGTTTCCGTGATTATGTACAGCATACCATACCATGGCTTAGTCATACCAAAAATTAGAGGGGGAAAAAAAAAAAAGAACAAAACAACATTTGACCACAGGGGGAGCCACAGCGATTGGTCGCATTTTAGCCATTTTTAAGCATTTTTCTGTTGTTATATAGCGCCACCCAGTTGCCAATTAGAGTTACATTCCTCCAGTCACCTTGAGGCATCCTGTTCTACATATCTACCAAGTTTAGTAAAAATCAATATGGCGGTTAGGCCTAGATAAGAAATTAGCTCTCTAGCGCCCCCATTTTGTTTGATGGGGTCAATAATGGAGGGGTCCCCTCAGATTATGTGTGGTCATAGGCCTACAAAGTTGCGTGGTGATCGGTGAAACCCTTGAGATGTTATACACCTTTATGTGATGAGCCACGCCCTCCGCATTATTCATTGCCTTATAGAAGCTCACTTTTAGTAAGTTTTCCAACTTTTGCCAAGAGGGAACTTTAGATATTGGTCCCTAGATTATGTTCACAGAGTTTCATGCAGATCGGTCAAACTTCCTAGGAAGAGATCGATTTTAAGTGTTTTTCAAAAAATTCAAAATGGCGTAAAATCTATATAACCGGAAGTTATGGGTTCTTGAGGCAAATTTGTTCCTCATGAGGAGAGGCATCTCCGTGCAAAGTTTCATGTCTCTACGACATACGGGGCATGAGATATGCCCATTCAAAATTTGCAATTTCAATCGGTTGCTATAGCGCCCCCCTTTGGCCAACTGATGTAATATTGCTTCATTTGCATCCTCCCATGACCCTCTACCACTGTGCCAAGTTTCACATGGACTGACGAAGTCAGTGAGGAGAAAAACATGGAACAGACACACCTACACACACATAGACAGAGTTTTCGTCATTATATATTAAGATGTCTGTTATCAGCTCTATAAAGACATTAGTTGAGTTTAGCTTGTCATGAAGGTTTTAATATCGATAAAAAATAAATACAATTACAATGGAAATTTGGGTTTTTAAATAAGGCTTGGGTCCAAAACATCGTGCCTCATGTTGGGCTTACAGGAATCTGTGTGGGTTCATGTAGGGTTGGGACTGATTTTTGTTGGCCCTTTCATGGCTCTACAGCTAAAGTTATCATAAAGAATGAGAATGTCAGCGTTGGTAGGTGGTTGAGGTGGTGGATGGAACCAACTTTCATCCAGCTGACTGGGGTTCGTGTCCCATGTCAAACCAGTATTCTCCATTGAGTTATTTTAACGTGCCACATGAAGTATATGTCACAGTTTATGTCACATGGCCTACATCATGTAATGTACTTATTTTAAGCCAAACCATGTTTTATTCTTCTAAACCTAATGTCATATTCTTTGCTCCCAAATCCAAAATGAAAGTCAGACCTAACAAAACTATTTAA